TCCCTCTACTTTAAGGATAAAAAGCCCATTCCAGAGCCCAGGTTTGCACCGTGGTGCCAGGGAGCTTTGGCTCACCAGCAGGCAGGCACGTGAGCATACCCTTCTTGGTTCTCGTCCTGAGCCACCACCGGTTATCTGCTGCTCCTGGCTCTCCCCAAGGTCCCCCATGACCGATACCGCCCTGGCACCTAATGGGGCTTATGCCCCAGCATGTGAGGACATGGACAAACCCAGCTGGTTGGTGCCCCAGGCTGGGTAGAGAGAAGGTGGCAAAACAGTTCCCCAAATTATGTGCCCTCACTTGGCCTCACTCCATCCCTTGGTGAAAGCCCGTTTCCCCCAGCAGTTTGTGAGCATGATGGTCATGGCAGGGCCCTCCTTCCCTCGTCAACACTCACTCAGAAATGAGGACAAGGACCTCTGTGGCTGTGTCTGCTCCCATCTTTACAATGACAGAAATTCAGGGAGACTGGTGCAAGCGTACCGAGGGATTCTCTGCTTGAATGCCAGGCCATGGAGGCTTTTTCCAGCCCTGAGAACATCTAAAAACCCACTGATGTGTTGTCTGCTCTAATCTATTCTACTCTCTCCTCTGCTCCGCACAGACTGTCCCTGGAGAAAAGCTGGAGAGATGGGTCCCGGCTGGTCCAGAATGCCATCCCCTGCCGTGCCAGCTGCAGAGGTGAGTAAAGCAACCAGAATTTCTCTGTGTGTTTTGAAGGGCTTTTTAGTGCTCTAGGCATGCGTGTGCATGTCCATAATTACAGTCATTACCTCCCTGCTATCACACTGTCCATCTCCACTAATGCTTTGCTCTGCATACCTGGTCTAGACCAGCGCAGGGGTGTTTGTGGTGGGGAACACCACAGACCTGAGAGAGATCACAGGAAAGTGAGTTTTAATCCCAGGGCACTGAGGCTTTGGAGGTGTTTCTACCCTAGACTCACGCAGTATCACTCCCTGCATCTTGTCCTGCACGTCCGGACCAATTGCCCATCAGGGATGGCCACAACCACCACTGCCATAAGCAGCTGCAGTAAAGGCATTTGGCCCCATTTTTATGCCAGTGGCTCATTTATGCCAAAATACAACTTGTTCTTTTAGAAATCTTCCCTGAACTGCTCTCCCAAAAGCACTAACGCCAATCCTGGAAGCTGCCGCAGTGTCCCTCTAACCGCAAGTCCCTCGGGTGCCTGCTGGCAAACTCAGAAAAGCAGGAGCATATGAAGAACAAAATATTTGCCTTTGTGGATTCCCTACGCTTTTTTGCTGAGTGCTGGCAGGTATCTTTGTGGGTGTGAGGTTTTGTACATCTGGAGAAGAGGCTAGTGGAAGAGAGAGCTGGGAGATGTAGCCTGTGCAACCCCAACACCGTCAAAGATGTGCAAGGCTGGTTGCCCATTTGCCTCAGTAACAGTGTCCCAGTGGCCTGGGAGTGCAAAATCTGAATGATTCTTCGTGCTGCTGACAGTGGTCCGAAATCTGCACTCAAACGAATGAGTCTGATTTCACAGGCTCCAGCACCTGCAAGCACATCGCGCTCAGCCACCGCTTGCTGAGCTGTGCCGGAGCATGGCTGGCACAGCCAGCACCAGACTGGGCACGTGCTCCCAGGAGCCAGGCATTGGGCAGAAACAGTGGAAGATTCTTGGTAGGGGAAAAAAAAAAGTATGTTTTCTTCAAGTGCCCAGGTCTATCACAAAGCTTAGCAGACTTCTCCTATGGTTAATTATCTTCGGTACCAATGTGCATCTTACCTCCGCTTCCAGTTTCGACTCCCAGCTGCTGGCCCACCTCATGCCTCTGCAGATCTGAATGCAGATGTCTCTGTTGGATGGAGCTGCTTTATTTACTACCCTCTGTTCTGCAGACCTTGGATTGGGTTTTTCTCCCCTTCCCTTGCAGCCTCCTCGGTTATTCAAACTGCTTAAAGACCTGATATCAAATCTGGGCCCGTCGCACCAGGAGTGCCTTTGTCAGTGGTAAGGTGATGCCTTGATGGGGCCAGCAGCTTCCACCGTGTCCCCTGCGCTCACGCTGCAGAGCCTCAGGGAGCCATCCACTGTCACCCCCATGGCACAAATATCACGGTCTTTTTCTAAAAACTGGTTTTCCTAAAGACTCGGTCCTCTATCAACAGTATCTCCACAGCCTGTGTACAGGTCTATTCATTTGCAGAGATTTCTCACCAGTCACCCCTAAATATATTGAGTATCTGAGGGCAAAGCCTGGTCCAAAGCCACCTTTGTCCCCTTCCTTTCCATGATCATTTACTTCTGAGAGATACCTGCATGAGTGCTACATCCTGCATTGATACTTCAGCTAACATTTCCACTTTATTTTTGCTTAGAACCTTCGTACACTGGTGTTTGTGGCCACTTCACACTCTCCTGATTT